AGAAAAATTGACTATTTTATACGCAATGTTTAACTTTATTGGATTTCTTTTCTCACTTTTAAAAGGAATCTACAACACATGTGCTATACACACACAAGTCAATCGACAAGCAAGTGTAGCACGCATACTCTTTGCAGGATTTTTTGGAATCTTTTCTACATCTATAAACAAAATTCTTTTAGACGCACAAATAAAAGAATATAACACAAAAATAGCAACACGACAAAATACATACGACGAAGAACATAACAATGTAGACATAACGCCAACGGCACCACAATTACCAGCCCTACCAAATAACCATCCACTATCCCTAGTCCCACGAAATTTTCGAAATTTAGCCATCACACATAATCCAAATTTTCGACTCACCACATCACAAAGTCCCATCCAACATATAATGACACACCAGTCACAAGATGATAATACTTATGAACAAATTATTGAACAACCCCATACCACCGCTTTTCAGTCTCAAAATAATCATTTTTTTAGCCCACGATGAGCCGCCAACTTGGATCACTACACCGATCAAATTCCCACCCAACCAATCTTACCTCTCCAATCCCAATAATACCACTTTTTGCTTTTCCGCCACCCGATTTTCCACCTAGTAATGTAACATCAGGCATGAATTCCGACACTAATTCACACATCTCAGTTTTATATTCCATCTCACAACTCAATAACCCGAATATTGAAACCCCCGATGAATTTGCCGACTCAGAACCATCCCCATCCAATAATTTTCATAACTCTTCTAATTTTTCTCAACCCCCTTTTCAACCCATATTATCCAATAACCCTGACCCAATCACTCCCACACCCTCTTATGCTTCCCAAGTTACCCCAACCTACTCCTCATACCATTCTGACCAATCATCTCATTCTCCAGACACCCCCCGAATCTCCCCAGAGCTAGATAATTTTATTACCCTTCAACAACAACCCTACCACCTTAATACCCCAACCATAAACCAAATCTCCTCCACAATAAATTCATCCAACCCCCCTACCCCTACACCCTCTTCAAATTATACTGAATCATTAGCACCATCATCCACATCAACTGAATCTTCACTCAACACTAATAGAGCTTACCGCACTTTTAAAAGAAAGTTCCCCAACCATCCTTTCCCAGCAAAACCAGGAACAGCCCGTGAATACATCAACCACCCCAAGCATACTAACACAAAAGAATTTTTAGCCATCACCTTACCCTCATTCCCACAATACACCTTAAACACCCCCCACGACACTAACGAAACACGCAACTTTGTAGATGAATACGTTTTAATGCCCACTCTCTCTTGGACCTCATATTATCATTTTACTAACCCTCTTTGCTTACCTTTATCTAACACTCACATCGATATAGAGCGAAATACGGACATGCTATATCGACTCACTACACCACTAACCGCTAGACAATTTACTTACGTTGGATATAAAAAATCACTAAAAACACACACTGCACCTAGAGCTAACGAATATACACTCGAATACTATGATCACAACATCATCAGAGCTAACCAAGATCAATTCTTAGACGACGATCGCTTCGCTAATCCACAAATTACCGAGAAATTTTTCATCAAGACACCATATATATTTACACTAAACATCTTCGACCGAAAGTTTGATCACATTATTTCAGAAGCACTAACAGACACACAAGCATACGAAAGTTTCAAAGAACGCTTCCAAATATTTTCACTAACCTTTCATTTCCTTGCACCACACGAAAGAGATTTACACTGCTCACACGATATTATGTTGCGCACTAAACAAACCCACACATATAGTTATTATCGCTTCATCCAAAATCACTTTGACCTACACACACCCTCTAGACAACCACACCATCGTTTTCAATTCATTAATTCCAAATACACTTCAACATTTTTCCTAAATTTCACATATTGTATTAAAGACACTAACCTTCATGGTATTCTTCGTAATTATGACCCCATAACCCAAATGTACATCTTCTGTCCCATCACCAAGACCTTCAACGCCGAAGAATCCCGACCCTTCCTTATCCCGCACGAGTTTGTACAACCCATAGAAATCCCAATTTTAGAATTCATCCACAACACTAAATTCAATCACAAATTATATAATCTAATCCAAAACACACCTTATGAGTTTGCAGTTGGCACTGAAGAACTAACCACTATTAAGGCACTTCAATTGCTTTGGCCACTGCTTCAAACTAAAAATATCATCCGCATCTTAGCTAAACTACTAACAACTTCAGAACTAATTCATGACATCTTCCCCCACGGTTTTTTCCCCGACGACTAACAGGTAAGTATGAATTAAATGAATATAACTAACTAATTGAAATATTAAAAAACTCACCATACTTTATCCATGTTTTCCTTAGATTTTTAGCCTTCATCCGACGATCACCTACAAAAACCACAAAAAACAAATAAAGATCGCAAATTTCATCAAACAGACTTCAACAATTCTATTAATCTCTTACACTTATAAATTTATAAATTTAATACCAATGCAGTAAATTCATTTCTAAAATTTTCCCCACAAGCAGTAAATCTAATTATAATGAAAATTTGTAACTTAAAATTCCCCCATAACTAGCAGTAAATTTCCAAATTCTATGCAGTAAATTAATAAAATGCAATTGCAGTACTAACCTTTTGATATTTTCATTCATTCGCACAGAAATTCTATCCACACTCGCACAGCTCGCCCACGAAGAATTGTTTAAAATAATGAATTTCAGTTTCAAGTTTTCACACTCAACAACTCTAACATATAATAACATGTTTCAAACTTTCCTTTAACCCGGTTGGAAAGGAATCATATATTAAACAAAACTAACCAACGCAGCTTACTAAATACCACAAATCATAGAATAACAGCATGACTAAGAAAAGGAAACCAACGGTACCCAAACCGGATTAACCCAGTTTAAAACTGGATAATTTATTCTTTTGAAGACTATTATAAAGTCTAAGAAAGAAATAATAAAACACAAAAAAGTCGAAAGACAAACCCATACCACAAACAATTTGATTTTTGGAAAAAGGACATAACCAACAAGACATAAGAAAAACCACAACAAACCCAACATAAAACGTTGTCACATAACAGGACCCCTCACAAAAACCGCATGAAATCATACTCCCATTCCTGGCCTAACCCACCAGGAAGGACGTCCTGAGCATGCTCTATAGCCGGCCTAACCCACCGCGCTACATCCACGCTTTGTGACCACACCTCTATTTTTAATAAGAGCTACTCAAGTGTGAGTAACTCTTCAAAATAACCGAACTAAAACAAAAAGCTTTTGTGAAAACAACTAACTAAAATCATAATTAAAAAATATTAAACTAATAAATGTTTTATAAAATGTAAATTACATTATGCAATACATAGATCAGAATACAACACCAAGGACGAACATCTAAAGACAAAACGACCCCACTACACTCGAGAGAGAAGGACCAACCACAATCGATATGCCACTCACAATCACAACTCAAAGGATTTAGAGTACGACTTGACTTCGCAGAAAAGGACTTCATTGAACTAGACCAATGACCACCTCGATGTTCAAGTATACGTACAGATCCGAGTAACCAGGCATCCCCTCCATGCACAATCTCCACGCCATTCCCAAACTAAATCAGACACAAAAAAGTTCTCCACGCAGAACAGAAAAACCTGACATAGCCAACCATTCTGAAATCAGATTTGAGTTTGTTGCAAAGACTTAGTCGTTGTCACTAGAAGACACAACGTCTTATGTCTCTAACTCCAGCTTCCTGGAACTTCTTTAACAAAAAGGAAACAGAAGAGATAAGATGTTCGCCAAACACCAACTTCCATCATCCATCCTTCGAATTGCAGAAGAACTATTCTAAAAAACTCTGTAAAACCCGGATGGGTGGAACCTGATCTAAACTACATTTTATGATTGGATAATTTAGATATTTTACCAATGTAAAGTATTTAATATTAACCAATCATGATTCATCTAACTAACAACCCACTTATTTGTAAGTGCTGAAGTTACTTGTAATTTCAGCACGAGAGAGAGATTTGAATTTAACTTAGAAATTAGTTGGACTCTCCCGAGCACTTCAGCAGCCGCAATAAACCAGTATACCCTAGATCTATTGAGCCTAGCAGAGACTAGTTAAACAACCTGAGACTAGATAGTATAAGAGTAAGATTAGGATCGGTATTAGACTAAGAAGTTGCACGAATCTATCCGGCCGAAAATAAGATAGCGTGACGAGCAGACGGTGTACCCTATCCGAAATTACTCTATGAGTTAACCAACTCGGTCCTAACTCAGTGTTACAACACGGGCGCTGATTAAGTTGTATGGCAGTAAGTTTGACGAGGTCGCGAGTCTCTTTTTAAATTGCCTTTGTCGAAAGCAATCCGCTTAAAAATTGCAAAAAAATTGGTGCAATGAACGTTGGAAAGAGCGCAGCGCGTTTTCCTTCAGATTTAGACTATCGTACAGGTAAGTTACACCCGACAAGAAAATGATATTTTATGCTCCTTCAAAAAACCTTGGTCTCTTTTTCACCGAACAAAGATAACGTTCCTTTTCTTTGTCATATGCAACAATTCATCGTTCCCGTAAATTTGATCATCTCTTTTTATAAATTGTTCATGAGCAGTTTAGTTTAAGGATTAACATTTTGTTCATTCTTTTTTTATGAAAACATGAAATGAAAATAAGGAAAGTTCTGCGTTGGAATTGATTTTGCTGAAAAATGTCTGTTGCAAGTCAGCAAGAAGTTGCCGTCGATTATTCGGTCAAAGTTCAAATATGGGAGTGTCGAAATGTCAAAGCCTCTGGAATCCGACCGTATGTAAAGGTTACACTTTTTGACAGCAAGAAATTAACCCCATCTAAAAGGTCAGCTGAAAACCCTTATTGGAATGAAATTTTCTTGTTCCATGTGAAAAAAGCTCACACTTTACTGCTCTCCGAAATTATCAATTTTCAGCTGATGAGTAGTAGAAATTTATTGAGCCGAGACCAAATTATCGGAGCCTTTGATCTCCAGCTTAAAGATGTTTATGCATACGAGAACCATTCAATGCAGAAAAAATGGTTGCTGCTAACTAACGAGTATCACGAGTTTGTAGGGTACCTTAAAATTACAGTTTCCATAGTCGGACCCAACGAGTCATTCCCACCCGAGGAAATTTCAGACGAATCTGAAACTGATATTTCTGAAAACGTGATCAGACCGAATAATGTATCACTCCACCCCGTTCAATTATTCACTAAACTTTACGAAGTTTGCCATGTTCCGGACTTTTCAGACGCCCTCAACCGGAATTTTCCCCAATGCAATTTGAGAGATTTTAGACCTGTAATTGAGGTCAGCTTTGATGGAGTGAAATCTAAGTTTAAAAGACTGAAGAGATGGCAAAATCACGTGGTGAACGAAGGAGCAGTCATGAACATCCATAACTACCCTTCGATTGCGAAAAAGATTTACATTTCAGTGTGCGACTCAAAGCACGGAAGTCGCTCCAGTGGGCTTTTGGCCCGCTGTTCGATTGATTTAAATTCATTTAAAAAAGACAGAACATCGATAAATTTGTCATCACCTCTTGAGACTAGTTTTGGACCGAAACTGCTCAACCTGTACGCTCAAACAGAAAACTCCGATTACCAAGCTCCTGAAGCGTTTATTTTCATGGGTCGCGTCGTCGTCGAGTTTCGGCTGACTGTTTCATCTGAACTAAAGCACGAGAAAGAACGTCATAAAGCATTCGCTATTGCACCATTGGCTAGACCGGTTTCAATGGGTGCCGTTTTCAGATGTGTGTTCATATTGCAAGAGTTGAATTTGATTAATGAGTTAGTAAGTGAAGATTACGTTCGTGTAAATGTGTCTTGGGCAGACTGTGACACTTCGTCTCTGCCTCTCCGAATCGGCGACTACTTCAAGTCAATGTAAGTGCATTTTTTTTTGTAGTTCCTGCTCGAGGATAGCCCATTTGTATTATCTCCCCACATTCCAGACTGTGTTATTTTGTTGAGCGAAGCTCTTTTTTGCGACTCAAGGCCGTTTTTGTGCGTCTAGAAATTTCACGTGGTACCACTATTGCAACCAAATTTGGTCAGGTTGTGGTAGACCTGAAGCTAGAGGTCAAGTGAGAGCTCGTCCTCACACACTATCATTGCCATGGCATGGGATCGATTACACGATCTGACGATTCTAAAGTGAACGCCTTACCACTATGCTAAGTGCCCCTACAATTGAATTTGTGATTACTTAGTGCTTAAGCCTGCGATTAGCAAGTGTCATCAAATCGGAATTTAGACTTTATGGGTTGCTCGGCAAAACCGTTGAATCATTTGTTCTGCCGCCATTTGCGCTAATGACTGACATGCTCAGCATTTTGAGAACTGACTGAAAATTTAACTACTGGTTACTCAAGCTAGTAACTACTGGTAAATGCTATATATCGTTCTAACCATTATATTTATGGTGATTTTATCAGGTTTATGTCAATAACCATTTTTTTTGGCTTCTGGTTATCAACTTAAACTCTGTCGCTCATTTTCCAATTTTGATTGGTTATTTTGATTGCATGTTCTCATGCAATAACTTATATAGGAACATTACAAATTTTCTATTTTTTTGCTCATTCAAATTAATATCAAAATCATTTTTCGACTTTCTGAGTGTTTGGTTATAAATCTATCGTCTTAGCTGTATTGTAAACTCAATTTCTCCGGAACATTGCACTGGCAGTAAAATCTATGCCTGGAACCACAAATATCCTGAGTTGGACTTGCTTGTTTGATAAATGATTGCAAAAATAATTATTGCTTAAATTTGGTATCAAGTTCAAATCTCAAAATGTGTTTAAAAAGCCGGAGAATACTAGAGAGAAAAAGTAACGCAACTAGAGAAATTAAAAACAATAAATGAGAGAAAGTTTTTGAAAAGACAAAATAAATTGGTTACTATTATGATAGTTTTTGCCCTTGATAGCAATATACCTAGTTTTTATCTGAAAAAATCTCAGAAAGTTTGAAATAAAAAAAAAACAACTGAAACAAGCTTATTTTTTAAAGCTCTGATTGAAAAATTGAAAAATTGAAGGCAAAGCTTTGTAATCCAATCGAGAAAACGTAATGTGAAGTTCGATCTCTCATAGAATGAAATGAAACTTTTTTGGTACTGACTGTTTTTTTTCCAGAATAAAGTCGAATTTTGTTCCTTTGATGCAAGGTGTTCAATGTCTGTCAGATTTCAAATTGTCTGTCAGACAGAGATCAGAAGGTTTCAATTCATGAGTCAGACAAAAATGTGTTGCAAACGTTTTGTTTTCACACAAGGAATGAAACAATTTTTTTTATCACAAGGTTTCATAAGGGATTTTTTTTTGAGTTTTGAAAACTGTTTGATTGCATTAATTTTTTTTCTCCGTTATATATGGGTCAGCAATTTTGAGACAAACGTTCTCAGGGTTTCTGCACTATTGCAAATTGCATCTAAGCCTTTCACCAGAGCTAGACCGAAAAATGTTTCTGACCGACCTGCAATGGCCATTTGTTCTGCCCCCACCTGTGAGTTTTTTAAAGTTAATGAACGCAATTTTCTTCAGTTTATTTCCTCGTTTTACAGATTTCCTTGTTTTCTTTCCGGTAACTTACATTTTGTTGTTTGTGTGGTATCGCTTCGCCTCTATACAGGCGCGAATCTAGGAATTTCTCGAGGTGGGGGATGTGGATTTTAAAAAAAATCAAAATTTGTTCGACCTTTTTTTAGATCGGCCAAATTAATTTTCTGAGCTCTCTCAAAATACTTTAAATACCGTAACTTGACCAAAGTTTCTGCGCCGCAGGCAAATTTAAAAAAAAAGCCAAAAAAAGCGTTTTTAGGCACTTTTTAAAAACTTTTGACCAAAAAATCGCGTGCGACAACAGTGGTACTACTACAGACTTAAGGCTTTACTTGAAATTGTCAAATCTTCGATGAAATTTCTTTCTATACTGGACGTCACTCACTGGAGTCAAATCATTAAAAATGAGCTGGTTGTTTTTTATCAAATTTTTCGAAATAAAATTTTACCACGTTTTCATTAGGTAACTGTATCACGTTTATATATGTTTGAATTTCCTTTAATATTGTTTTTTTTTATGTTTCCTGTCCTGTTTTAGGTGTTTAATTGTCAGTGAATGAAAACAATCTGTTTAGTCTGCAAAAAAATGTGACAAAGATCCTTCAATTGAGTCGCCCTCTATAAACCAAATTATACCCTTGATTTTGGTTGTGGCTTAATTTCGAAACATAATATATTTTTATCTATTTAAAAGGTGATGTATATCTAAATCTTTCTTTTTTATTTTTTCTAGAAATCAGGAATTCGGTTTCCCAGAAAATCAAAATAGATAGTCCTCAGTCGATTCGCAAATTATAGTTAATTAATCTTTTGTCCGTTCTACTTGTTTTAAAAAACGTTGCAATGAATTACCATTTTTTTTTATTTTTAAACGCCCAAAACCATTCTTAAATTTTTTCAGCTGGTCTCGTAACTCAATTTCACGCCAGTTTTTTCTGAACTTTTTAACAAAAAAGTTAGTTATTTCCGACCTAACTTGGTCCCATTTGCGTTCAGCTTTTGTCTTTAGCATCTGTGCACTGCTTCAATTCTCTTTGGCGAACTGATCGCAGATGTTCTATTTGCTTTAATTAATGCATTATCCCTAAGAACTGGTGGTGTATATCATTAGAGTGTGTGTTAATTATATAAGACAGAATGAAGCTTTTCTTCCAGTCGAATCAGATCGCAAGCTTTTTTTTACTCCCCCCACAATTGAATTTAAATTTTGAAAAATTACTGTTGCTTTGTCATTCGAAGTTTACTATCCTGGCTTAAATTTATTTTGTCATTTTGATCTTTTCACTGTTGTTTGCAAAGTGGAGCTTCACTTCTGTAAGAGAATTTTGGGTCACAATGGTTTCAGTTGTTACTCTTGGGTAGCAAGTGTTTTATGTTTGGGAAATATACTTTTTTTCCGGCTAGTGTGTTTGGCTACATTTTAAACACGTTTCGTTTCGTGAACTTGGTTTCCCTGCAGATATCTCTCAAGTTTTGCTGATTCACGTTTTATAAACGCTTGTCCTGATTTAAAGATAAAATTTTTAGCAATCAAAAAATTTCAGATTTTGGCTTTAAGGCCATTTTCCTATTTTTTTCGGGATGTTCTTTCTTCAAATGTGCAAAATTTGTAAGCATTTGAGTCAGCTTAAATTTAAAAATTTTAGGTAAAAATTGTGTTAAAAGTTATTGGAAAATTAGCAGTATACTGGAGAAAAAGTAACGCAACTAGAGAAATTTAAAAACAAAAAATAGGGAAAGTTTTTGAAATTACAAAAAAATGGTTACTACTATGTTAGTTTTTGCCCCTAGATAGTGGCATACCTAATTTTTATCCAGGAAATTCACAAAAAGTTTTCTAATCCGAACTAGAAAACGTGATATGAAGTTGCCTCTCACAAAAAATGAATTGAAAACTGTTTTTTTTTCCGGATCAAAAGGTACAAATTTTGCTGCTTTGATGTAAGGGGCTCACTGTGTGTCAGCTTTCAATTTTTTTATTTCATCTCTAACGTTTTGTTGTCAGACAAGGAATGAAGCAATTTTATAATTACAAGATTCCATAGAGAATTTTTTTGAGTTTTGAAAGTTGTTTGGTTGCGTTATTTTTTTCTCCAGTTTGTTTTCAATAATCACTGGTGACTAATCACCAGACAGACATAACCGTTTTTGTTTTCGTATTGCAATTTTTTGCATCTTGTTTCCTTCTATGTAGAAAATAAGTCTCCCAATGACAATCTGGATTGAAATCATCTTTGTTATTTATTTATTTGGCAATTTTAGGCTCAACTTCAAACCGTGTCTTTTCTATTTTCCCACAAAAACGGTTCTTGCGGCAATTTTTAAGAGTGTGAAAATTTGTCCTTGTTTTCACGCTGATACTTTTTAAGTAAGTTTTCTTATGTCGAATTTGAGAAAAATTTAGAGAGTGTTAGAAAAAAGCCCAACTTTCAAAATGATTTACGTAAGATTTCCTGGTTATTTTTACTTTATAAAGATATTTTTTCCAAGAGTGGTTTTGCAGTATTCCATGTTGGTCAATTTCTGATAAATTCCAAGCTCTTTTTTAGTTTGCAATGATTTTTTCAGGAAAAGTCTTTGAATTTGTTCAAGTTCAACATATTTTTTTCGCTGTTTGACTTTTGATTTTGGTTTAGATTTAGTTTAATTCCTTTATTAGAACATCGAATAGCAAGAATGTGAAGGTGACAAAAAATGTTATCGACTTCTAACTTTGAAATGGAATTCAATATTCAGATTGCCCAGTGAAAAAAAAAACTTATTCAATGGTTCAATTTTTTCAAATTGGGTTAACTTTATCAAAAAAAATGCCAAATATAAATAGTTCTAAAAAATTAGAAAATCCAAACACTTCAACGGTATCTATTTGTTCTTTGAAGTTTGAAAGTTAGGGTATAAAGAGTATTGCAATTGAAAAAACGAGAGTCTTCAGGGATTTTATAGTCTTCAGGGATTCCGCTATACATTTGCGATATTTTTCTCTAATTTTGAATTTTGAGGAAAGTTTGTTTTTTGTCCTTCTCAAATTTCTGTCAAATTCTCTGTGATCTCAGAAAAATAATTTTAAATTTTTTTTATGGTTTTCTTAACGCATTGTCAAAGATCGCAAGTTATCTCAATTTCGCCTCAGCATGTAACTTTCAATTTAAAGTTACTAATGAATTCAAAGTTTGAACTCGTTTAGGTTTTCTATGCTGAAATTGAAAATTGAGAAAAAAGAAAAAAGGTTTACTGTGACCAAATGTGTTTTTTTTAAATCTTTTCCGGCTCTTTTCTACTCCCCCCACTTTTCAATTTCATTTTTAAAAATGTATTTGAACATTGTCGTACTACGGTGAAACTTGGGATGGTGAAAAAAGTAAAAATTGTGAACACATGTGTCCTTCATACTTTCCATCATAACATCACACATTCAGTCAGAAAAACGTAATAGTAATAATAAAGCGGAAACATTGAATTGGGGGGAGTGGAAAAGAGCCAAATCTTGTTGTCTACGAATACTCATTTTTCGAAGTTTGCTATCCTGACTCACATTTGTTTTGTCTTTTTGTCTTTTTCCGCTTTTGTTTGCAAGGTCACTTCTTAAAAATAATTTTGGGTCCCAATTGTTTCAGTTGTTAATTTTGGGTAGCAAGTGTTCTATGATTGTAAAATTGACCTTTTTTCGGCTAGCATGCATGTTAAATACGTTTTACACTTTAAAATTTTGTCACGTTTTTTACTTTTTTACGTTTTTACATTTTGTCCACATTTTAAATACTTTTTATGTTCTTGTTTTCGGGTTTTTGTTTCTTCAAATTTTAAAGGTTTTTGAAAATGACATGAAAGTGATATATAGTTTTAAAATGATGAATTTTTTTCTTTGAAGTCAAAATAAAAAATATCAGAAAAACTTAATGTTTTTTTTTCGGCTTCCTGGAGTTCATTGACTGTTTTCCAACAGTCTTTTGGTTGTTTAGAAGCAGTAGCAGATTTAGGAGTGGGGTCGCCCCTTCCTTTCAGGAATCCGACTCCCATGCCACCCAAGGTGACCCCTCCCTTTTGGTACTATTTTGAGACATCAAATTTAAGTTTAAATTAAGTTTATATTAGAAGAGCGTTGTACTTTAGGAGAGGAAGTAGCTATAGATATTGTGATTTGAAGTCTAACTGGCCAGTTCTCATTTTGGAGACTTCTCTGGAGAATGAAGTTGAGAGCCTGGTAGTGTCCAATATAATCCAGAGCATGGCAGAGACCACAGTCAACAGTCTCAACAAACTCAAAGCAAACATTGTCGCCAATCGGGTAAAATATACAATTGCAAGCAAGGAGAGCTTGTTTTTTTAACCTGCACAAGTAATTTCAGTTCTTCATAAATAATTCCATTTTGTTTTCCGAATCTGGTCCTAGGGTTTCATGACATTTGATCATTAGTATATATATTTTGGGGTCGGATTTTTTAAAAAAAAAATCAAAATTTTGTCTTTTTCTTGGTTGACCAAACTGTTTTTTCGAGCTCTCTCAAGCACTAGAATGACCTTTTTGGGCGCATTTTTTGCGCCACAGGCAAATTTTCGAGAAAAAAAAGCCAGAAAGACGCGTTTTTAGGCACATTTTGAAAAATGTTTACCAAATGCTCCCTCCTCAGAATTAATTTGTATTGGCGCCATATGCGCCATTAGACAAACTTTCCAACCAAAAGCTGCCGACCAAAACTGGAGGTCGTAAAATAGTTCCAAAAGTGGGACCCTCTGGCTCGTCATTGGGTCAAATCCATGAGAAGTAGCGTCCGCCTTTCTTCCCTCACAAAATCAGACCCGTCTCATGTAAAGTTTTTGAAATTTAAAAGAGCATTACGATAATACAAGTTTTTTGTGAAACTCAAAAAAGAAAAATTCTTACAAAAACTCGTTTTAAATGACTTAACACTCGCCATTAATATTTGATATACAGAATTTGCATTAAACCTTCATCTGAAATAAATCTTTTTAAGAAAAGCGGGGTCTTATGCATTAAACGGCCCAAAAATCAAAATTGAAGCAAAATGAAAACTAAAACTGAAACTGATCCTGATTGGCTAATATTAGCCAATCAAATTCGAGCAGCTAGGTCAGCCATTTCGATTGATACTGAGATTAATCCTGATTGGCTCGTATAATATGTAATGACTTAAGTAATTGTATGTTGATTACGTGATTTCAATTTAAATAAAGTTTCTGACTATTTTCCTAATTTTGGGCCGTTTAACGCATAAGACCCGAAAAAAAGTTTTTTATTGAAAATTTTTGAGTTGTTAAAACTTTGTTTTTGGCGAAGATTATTTACTTAATTAAAGCCATTACTGATGTTCTAAGTTTTGTTCAGTTTTTGATAAGGGTCTTATGCACAAAACGGCCCAAAATCAATATTTTTATATCTTGAGCCAAAATTTATACAGTCAAATCTGATTGGCTAATATTAGCTAATCCAATTGAAACAACATGATTAGGTAATTCAATCAAAACTTCCAGCAGAAAAAATTTTAAGCCGAAAGTACCGAAATGTTAAACTTTTACTAACAATAAAATTATTTTCAAGTCACATAATAAGTTTTTTTGACGAGAAAAATTCAATTGAAATGCAGGAGCAGGACCGTGTTTTTGAATTTGAGTGTATAAATTGCGATCAACCTTATTAATTTGAACTCAAGAAAGTTGAAGAAATACTGATTTTGGACCGTTTAGTGCATAAGACCCTTTTATATCTTCGCACACAAAGCACTAATTTGAGTGAAAACTATTCACCTTTGTATTTACAATTTTTTATTCATTTTTGTTTTTATTGCACATGTTTTTATAAACTCAGTACCGTCCTGGTTATTGTTTTTAAAGTAAAAAAGAGCAATTTGAAGATAATGATTAAGGTCGCGTGTTTTTTACTTTTTGTCATAAAAAAGTTTTGAACAGTGTCCACACTCAACATCGATGTTTTTTTTCGTTTGGAGTTTTTTTTTCCATGCTCAACTCAAATTCTTTTTCTAAAAAAGGGCAAATTTGTTTTTCCATAAAAAGTCCAAAAATGCAAAAAAGAACGTGAACGTTGTTTAGTTTCGAGAAACAATTTTGACCTAATTTTCTATAATTGGTTTAGTTTGTTGAAAAAGTTTCAAAAATAATGAATTCTCGAAACTCAAAGAATCTCAAGGTGATTTTTTTTCTGCGGAATCTGAAAACTCGCGTTCATTTTAATCAGCCTGTTCATAAAAGTTTCTTATAACTTTTTTTACTGGGTTAAGTCAATGAAACTCGTGAACAGTTATATAGGTCGAGTGGATTTTTTTATTTCACTTTTTGGAAAAAGTCTTAAAATTTGTTCACGCTTAACTTTTTAATGGTTTGATTTCTCATTTTTTTCTAAGTTCAGTTCAATCTCTATGTTAATATAAAAGGAAGGCAGAATCCATTATCGAACAGCAAAAGTAGAAATATGACAAAAAACGTGCATGGCGATTCAAGAATACAAATTGACTTTAGTTTTGTGAATTCGACTTAATGATCCATTTATCTCAAATTCGGCTTATTTTCATTAAAGAAGAGTCGGTAATAATTTGTTTTTGAAAATCTAAAATCTTTAAGGCCATGTTTTTGTTTTTTTTTTTAATTTAACAGTTGAATTTTTTCATAAACCAATTTGTCAATTTTGTCGGTTTTCTGGAGTTCATTTACACTTTTCCTATTTTGTTGCCTGTGTTTTGATACCAGGGGCGGATTTGGGGGGGGGGGGGCTTGTGCGAGGGGCAGAGGCTTCCCTTCCTCAGGGATTTGACCCAAAGGGTCCCCCCTTTGTACTATTTTGGAACACCCACTTTTGACTGACCGGCACAAAAAATTTTCTAAAGGCGCCTTGGGTGCCAATATATACTAATTTTTAGGAGGGGCGCCAAAAAAAAAACGCAATTTTTGGTTAAAATGTTTCCAAAAAAGTGCCTAAAAACGCTATTTTGGTCTATTTTTTAAAACGTTTTGGCCAAAACAGGGTCTTTTTACTGCTTTGGGAGAGCTCGGAAAATGGAAAAAAGATCGACAAAATTTTTTGAAAATCTGCCCCCCCCCAATCCTCCAGAAAATCCTAGATTAGACCCTGTTTGATACTACTCGTTCCAACAAATTCGGGAGCATAACCCAGTCCTAAAAAACATTTGGGATTTAAAAATCGCTGTTTTTTAAAGCTATCGAGTTATTATATTAAATTTAGAATAACAAAACAAAATTGAAATATGCTTATAGGTACAAGATGCTAGCAAACACATGTTACCAAGACTGGTCAAAATTTTGAATTCCCTCGTTATTAAAGTAAATGTGACGCGAGCTCAACTGGAAAGCATGGATTTCTCCGATTCGGAATACTTGTTGGATAAACTGGATCTTCTGCTCGCAACAGTGGCATCCATTTTACAAACACTACCAAAAGAAAATCAGCATGACCTTTTGATAGACATTGAAACTCTACTGCATAACTTGAGGTAACATTTTCATAATGTTGATTTCTATTAGCAAGTGGCGGATTGAGGATTTTCTAGAGGAGAGGTAGATACGGATTTCCAAACAAGGGAGGACCCTTTGTGTGGTCAGGCGTCGAACCCACGAGGGGGAGGTGTGTCGGGGTTCCAGTGTGATGATACTTAATAATAGTAAAATGACTAAAGATCCCACACTTGAAATAAAATATGGTCTGACTGTACATATGCTTCTATTTTCAGGTCGATCAGAAGTCCCGTCTTGTCCACATTGCCGCCTATCATTGTCAGTTTCTCCTGCAAGGCAACTTCAGGCGCTATTTTTGCGTTTCTTCGAATTCCAACTCAGAATCTGATGTTCAATGCGTTTTTCGCGGGTAGTCAGTATAACAAGTCTACAACTGCCAAAATGAAGTTTGTGTCTAAAGACTTGATTGGAAGAATGGGAGGACAAATAGCCGCCCAGATCACTTATCAGGCAAGTAAATAACTGCTCCGCAAAAGCGCCAATTGCCAGAATCGGAGGAGCGTCTTGAAACCTCAAAGACTATTCGTTTTCGATTACTTCCTTGAAGCCAACGTACATTTATTCTGAGATTAGAGGTAGCAAGCGCAAGTTTGTATTGAAGTGAAAGCTCATTGACATGACTATTATCTAAAATTGACAGAGGCGCAAAAAAGTTATCTTCCTTAGTTTTTGGGAGAGCTCTGAAACAAGCATAATGATGAATAAAATAGGGGTCGCCTTTAAAAAGCGAATATCTATATCTATATCTATCTATATCTATACAATATTTAAATGCGAGTGACAGCTATCTCCCATGTTTAAGCATAATAATTTTGCATGTTTAACGAAAGAATTTTTTCATGTTTAAGCTATAGCATATATTGCAATCCTTAAGAAAATTTTTCAATTAGTTTTTTGCAAGGTCATTAATTTTTCAGTATTTTTTTTCGAGGCCAAATTAAGTCTGTCTGTCTGTCTGTCTGTCTGTCTGTCTGTCTGTCTGTCTGTCTGTCTGTATACCTGCTTTTTTAATTAATTTGATTATTTCTGTCTACCCGTCGCCTAATTTTTTAACTTTCATCTATTATGTATCTATCTATTATATATTTAATTGCGGGCTTCACTATCTCGCCATGCTTAAGCTTTTTCAACGTATTATTTTTGCATGTTTAACAAAAGAATTTTTTCACGTTTAAGCTATACCCTATGTTGCAATTTTTAAGGTTTTTTTCGATTTTCCAGTTTAAATCTATTATATATTTAATTGCGGGCTTCACTATTTTGCCATGTTTAAGCTTTTTCAACATATTATTCTTGCATGTTTAACAAAAGAATTTTTTCACGTTTAAGCTATACCCTATGTTGCAATTTTTAAGGTTTTTTATCGATTTTCCAGTTTAAATTCGGTGTTCATTTTATCAAGTTTGAAATTAGCAACCCAATAGTAAGATATTGTCTGAGTTTTTCCAGGTTTTGCGATTCTGGCCTCCATATATGAAAAGCCAAATCCTTTTAGTTTACGAGATAGGCAATTTTCGAGATTTTTCAAAACTTCTAGAAAATTTAATTTTAAAAGTTTCTCAATGTTTGAAATTCTCACCCAGTAGTTGTCAAGGTGCTGTCAGGATACTCTCAGGGGTTGCGAATCTTGCCTCCAATTCTCACTTCTAAAATCCTTGTAGTTTTCGAGATATGATGGTTTTCCTGATTTTTTTAAAAATTTTTCAAAAACTTAGATTTTGAAAAATTCCAAAACGAAATCTCAATCCTGTTGTTGGATATTGTGAGGGTACTCTCAGGGGTTGCGTATCTTGCCTCTGATTATGGCTGCTCTAATCCTTGTAGATTTTGAGATATGATTTATTTTGGATTTTTTTTCAAAATTTTTCTGAAAACTTAGATATAAAAAATATCACAAAACTCGAAATTACCCTCTCTGTAGTGAGGCTCTGTCGGGGTACTGTCAGAAATTGTGAATTTCGCCGCCAAAAATGACTGCTCAAATCCTTGTAGTTTTCAAGATATGACGTTTTCTATGATTTTATCCGAAATTTGAAAAAAAACTTACATGTTAAAAAATTCCAAAAGTTTAAAGATCTCAATCCTGAAATTGGAATCTTTGAGGGTACTCTCAGGGGGTTGCGAACCTTGTGTTTGAATATCGCTGCTCAAATTCATGAACTTTTAGAGATATAACGTTTTTTTAGGATTTTTTCTAAATTTTTTCAGAAAACTTAATTATAAAAAAATTCCCAAAAATTGAAATTATTATCTGTAGAGTGAGGCTCTGCCAGGGTACTCTGAGGTGTTGCGAGTTTTTGCCTCCCAATATGACTGCTAAATTTTTTGGAATTTTTGAGATATGACGTTTTTTTGGATTTTTTTTTTCAAAATTTTTCAGAAAACTCAATTATAAAAAACTTCCCAATACTTGAAATTTTTATCTCTGTAGTGAGGCTCTGGCAGGGTACTCTCTAGAGTTGCAAATTTTGCCTCCAAATAGGACTGCTCAAAATTTTGCAGTTTTCCATTTATTACGTTTTTTATTAAAATTATTTTTTTTTTTCAAAGTTTGAAATTCCTAACCTGTAGTTGTGGGGCTGTCAGAGTAATCTCAGGGATTGCAAATTCGGCCTTCATTTAAGAATGCCCATATCATTTTTGTTTAAGAGATACGACAATTTGTGTGATTTTTTTGGAAGTTTTCAGAAATCTCAAATTACAAAATAATTCGTTAAATTGAAATTCCCAACCCTAAGTTGTCTACTTTGCGAATTTTGCGAATTTTGCCATCTAAAAAGACTGCTCAAATATTGGTTGCTTTCGAGATTAGAAAACTTAAGGTGAAGTTTATCAAAATTTGAACTTCCCAACGTTGTCTCAGGAGTTGCAAATCTTGCGTCCAAAAGCGACTGCTCAATTGCTTTCAGTTTCCCAGATGTGACGTTTCTTAGTTCATTTTAAATTTTTCAAAGAACTTATATAAAACTTCACAAAATTTTATGGTTCTTCAAAATTTGTTCAAAAAACGTGAATAAAAACTTTGCAAAATTTTTAATTACGAACGCTGTAATTGGGTGCTGTCAGAGTACACTCAAAGAATAGTTTATGAATTTGAATTCATAAACCCTTCCGTCATCATTGTTTTGAGCAGGGGGAAAAAATTTCACTTAAGTTTTGCTTATAACTTTCATGCCTGTTTGAAATCGTTCATAAACAACCACAAAATGGCCGCTGTTCAATTTTGACTCAAATCCTTGTTGACTTCAGGCATGGGTTTACAACAAATCAGAAGGAGGTTGTCCTGCAAATGATTTGGATCAGAAACTTCCGATCCATTCATGCGCAGTTATGCATGAATACGAGGAGAAAACTCTTCTCAGCTGGCAAAAAGGTTGGTCTTAAATTAGATTCATAATCAAATGTAATTTAGGAGGATTTATTGCGAAATGATCACAAACATAGAAACTAGAGAATAAAAAGGCTCTTTTCCAGTTTCCCACCCCCCTTTCAGAATACCGAGTTTTATGTTTGTTGTACGTGTTATTACGGCTAAATGCGTGATGTTACGCTGTAAGGTATGAAGAACAAATCTGTTTACAGTTGTCGATTAATTCACCACGCCAAATTTCATTGCATTATGACAACGTTAAATAGACTTTTCAGTATTGAAATTTAAAGGGGGGACTGGAAAAAGAGCCAATAATATTATGACTAGGCTTTACAATCATTACTTGATTTGAGGAGATAATTTAACTTTTTGTGTAGCTTTTAAAGATGTTTGTGCCAATGTATCTGTTTTGATTTCAGGTGAACCTCAGTTCCATGACTTGAACGGAGTCACCTACCCTTCCATTGAGATGCTCAGTCGCATTTGCAGAGGTTCTCAAAAATATGAAATCTCCAAGTCCGACCAATGGCAACTGCTCACCAACCTTACTAGTCCCATATCAACAGACCAAAAGTTGGATACTTTTCCAAAACAAGATAAGAGTCAGGCAGTTATGTTTAAGCATGAAAGAAGGAAAGTAGGTGATAACAAGTGGCTGCGAAATGAACCTCATTTTTGGGGCTCTGATTTGGTGGCTAAAGATGACAAAAAGGGATCCTTTTACCCTCCGAAGGGCTGGAAGTGGGCTGGAACCTGGAAACCTGAAATAGAACCGAGACGAATTGGTTCGGAAATTGACGAAGAAGGCTGGCAGTACAGTTCGTTTTCAGGAGATGTCACGAGTTTTGAAGTCACAGATTGGAATCCAGTTGAAAATGAAAGCCACCGTCTTAGAAGGCAAAAGCTGGTTCGCGTTTTAGTCCTTGACGACAAAGAAAACGTAGAAAAATTAGAAAAGATAGAAGAAGAATCTGCTTTTTTCGAGTATTCAAACAATTATTGGGACGATTATTTCCCGTTCTCGGATGGAAGTGAAATCTTTAGACGGCGAATTTGGTTTCGAAAACTGAACTCGGTTGAATTTGTGGGAAAGAGTTTCGACAGTCTCAAGTTGAGTGCTTCTTTGGAAGATGGCGGCGGAAACATCGAAGTCTGCTCGCAACTGTATCATTTTATCAATGCAAAGTTAGCTGAAAAACGGTTTGAACTGCATGCGTACATATATCAAGGCGAAGTAAGTAATTTTTGTTAGAATTAAACTTTTAAGGCTTAAATTTTTAATTATAGCAAATTCAGCGAAATAATTCACACAGGAAATCAGTGAATTTCAAAGAAAACTGCGGCTAACCTGTTTTTATTAGAGCTACATGGAAGCCTAGTTCTCAAAAACTAGACTCTTATCTAAGTTTTTTTGAACCTAAATGTTGCCTCACCTGCGAACGAGTCCATATTAAAGGAGGGACTAAACTACCAGGGCACTCCATCTGTGTTTGTGAAGCGAATCCGCTCCGCGTCCAACCCAGAGAATCTCATTTTAAGGTTAGATTATTTGTTAGAAGGAAGGCAAACTTCTCCATTGATCACCAAAATCGTAAAGGTTGTAAAAAACGCAATCGAATTTTTATTTTGAAAGCTGATTTCAATTTTCAGATTTATCAGTGGAATAAATGTGTTGTCTATTGATTTGATCCAGGTTTTCCGTTTTCTGAGGGAGAATATCTATGATGTGATTACGCCAGCTCTAATCTTTATGATCTATGACTTTTAAAATTCTTCTGCAGAAAGGAGAACGATAACGCTTTCACTTCAAAGAAGATGTTGTGCGACTTCAACATTCAAAAGTGGATTTGAATAATTAGATTTCCCAGCTGAGTGAAAAAAAACTAGCTGATCCAGTTTTATCTTATTGAGCTAGTTTTATGAAAAAAATGTCGAAGACACAAAATTCTTGAAATTTAGAGATCTCAAACATGATATATTTCATTTTTTTAGTTCTCGAGAGATTTTCAAATTATAAAGTATTTTCGCTCCGTTGTTTAATTAGAGAGGATTTCTAATGCTTGGGCTGGTTTGCAAATCAGTCAAACTTCGGCGATCAAAATATTTTACTTTCATTTTTTGTAAAGTTATGTCGGTTTAAAAATCGGTACTTTGAGTATGCTCTAGTTTATTTTATGCACCTTTTTCAATGTGTAATCCATGTTGACGAAAACGTAACGCAGTTTATTTACTTGAGGCTGTGATTTCTTAAGGAATAAAGAGATCTGTACAAGACTTAATTCATCTTGTTATATAATAGATAAGTTGTAAACAATGTCATGACAATTAGATACTTCAACTTAAATCTTTCATAAATTGAATAAGAGTGATTAAATAAACTTGTTTAAAATTAGACCGTGGATTGATAGGTCGAATTATCTCGCACTAGAAAAATTGTTCCAAAATGACTTCAGGCAAGCTAAAAGTTTGTGATTATTTGTACGACTAAAGTATTTTAACTTGATATTTGTTTTTGCTTCAAAATTATTGTTTTTCAGTTTTAGGAGTCGACGAACGTAGTTGAGAAAGTTAAATAGGTCGGAATGATTTTTTGTCTTTTTTTCAGGTTTGAGGTTTTTTTATTTGAGTTTATTTTTTAAAGGCCAATTCCCTTCTTTTGTTAAAAGGAAAGCAAATTCCACTATCAAGCAGTGAACATGAACAAGTTACAAAAACATGGTCAACTTCTAATTTTGAAAGCGGAGTTCAATTATCAGATTTCTTAGCGGATGAAAAGTTTTACCGAATAATCTAGTTTTCTCAAATTGGGTTCATTTTAAGAAAAAAGTGGCAATCAAAAACTGTTGGTGAATTTAAAAAAGCCTTAAGGCCATCTATATTTTATTTTAAAAATTCGAAAGGTGAAATTTGTTCAAACTTTCGAATTTCATTGCGCTCATATATTCTTTTCCAACTCTGGGCTATGTTTACTGTTTCCAAAAATTTTTCGGTACCAGCAGTTTGAAAATTCAACAATTTTGATGGCTGGCGCTCTTATCTTAAAGTTAATCTATTTAGAGATAACTGGATCAATACGTAATTTTTTATTTGGCTCGGAGTTCAGAAACTTAAAGTCCTTTTTTGAAACTAGGAGTCATTCACTTTTTCGATCAAACAAGAATTTACATTTTTCCATTTTTTGTTTTAAAGATTTCCAATTATCTGATGGCTACGTTTTTAGGATCTCAATGCTGCACAGGCAACCAGAACATTTGCCAATGTAATTGCACAATCGATGTCCAGGAAGTCCCATAGTGTCGATCGCTCAATTAGCCCACTATTTGACGAAGTCTTAATCATCAAAGACATTTGCTGCTACGATCTAACATTGAACCAAGAACAATCCTCTTTAATTATACCATCAGTTTTCATCGAAGTCAGAAATCAGTCGGGATCTTCAGAAACAGCTGTGGGTCACGTGACTATTACCCCAAATCTGTTGAAATACTCTTCAGATCGACGCTCACATTTGAAGTGGATCGAGTTGCGAACTTTTCTGTCGACCGCCAAAAGTCGTCTCCTCTGCTCATGTGAGCTCATTGAACCAAATTTACAAGCTGCTAAATTGATCCCTACTTTTGACCGAACTGTTACGTATTTCACAATCCCGTACCCAATAGCTCCGGTCACGAAACTCACTACTTTCGAGATCATTTTCTGGGGTTTGAGAGGCGTTAACAACCTTTCGGGTGGTTTTGTCGAACTAATGCGATTCTTGGGAGGCATGGAATCGTCAAGTTTGATTATTGAAACAACGATTCTCAAGTACTTCGAAAATTCCGGTGTCCTCAAAAATATCGCAGAGCACCCTAATTTTCCAAGAGACAACCATCGTCTGGATATGCTTCTCCCGATCAAGAAAGAGTACTCGCCTGTCGTGGATTTGGCCCTGAAGAAATTTGAAGGAGACTATTTTCCCGGAACCGGGCAAATTGTAGCTGTCGCAACTATCTCAGGAATCACCGATTTGCTGAGAGGAGATTTATTTGGCACGGAAACTCTTGATGATCAATTGGGCAATGGAGATAATGAACATGGTGACACTGGTGATCAGGAACATAATCGCAGCTCAAAAGAATCAGTAAATAGGTTGGTCTTTTTTGTAAAATTGTCTCTGGTTTCCAAAGAACTCGACATTTTGCACTACTTTCATTTGCCATCTTTTCCTAAAATAAAATTTCAAAATTTATGAAAAAAATAGCCCAACTTTTTTTTATTTATGGGTGAATATTGAAGCTACTAAGAGACCATTAATTTGCCGGGTTTTTCTCTATGCTTGTAATTTCGTAACCTTTGATTCTGTAATCTTTTTTCATGTAGCTTGTACATTATGAAGTCGAGAGCAAACCAGGGTAACAAGGTCAAACTCTACCGACGTCAAAATGCATCAGGGCAGGGCGATTTACTCGACACTGTTGAAAATGGAGATTTCTGGTCGCTGTTCTACGCTGCCCGAAAGCTGAATTCAGTCAGCTTGGAAAAACGAACTGAAAATACAGAAGCCAAATCAGATGCTGTATTATTTTTCTACCAATCAAGTCTCGAAGACTTCCACGAACAGTTCACAGACTTCTTAAACAGTTATCCTCTCGTCAAACCGAACAAATCTTTCTTCAGTGACGATTTTGGAAACCGAGTTTGCGATTTGAAAGCGGCTATTGCGGTGTACTACACACTCCAAAACCGTCAAAATTTTTCGTTTTTCTCGAGAGCGCCGACGCCAACGCAGAAGAAATTACTAGTCCGACTGTATGTTTTACAGGCTGATAATTTGGTGTCTCTAGATTTCAATACTGGTCTTTCAGATCCATATATTTTTGTGCAAACAAGCGGTGGTCAAACGTTTGGAAAACGTGATGATTTTGTGACCAATTCTCTGGAGCCGGTGTTCGGAATATCGTTCGAGTTCAAAGTTACACTCCCGTTGGATTACTTAGTCACATTAGAAGTGTGGAACCATAACAAGGTGAGCGGCGAAATAGCACAACTTTTTGCACATTGATATTTCATTTATCGAGACGGAAGATCAGTTAATAACCAGTGAAAGAGGAATTGAGCTTTCTACGATAAAGCGCGGTTAAGACATTTTCTTTGACTCTTTTTTAATCTATACTGCCAAAAAAGCTTTCACTTCTAAGCAAAAATGATTATTGGTTAGCATTCCAATGAGGCAGCCTTGTGGTAAGTCGGTAACTTTGAGAACGTCAGATCAGGTGTTCGATCCCCTGTCGCGGTAATGAAAGTGTGTGAGGATGAGCACTCATTGAACCTCTAGTTTTAGGTCTACTACAGCCTGACCTTTTTTGGTTGTAGCTGTGGTACCATACGTCACAGTTCTAGACGCTTGATAGTCAGCCTGAGCTTGCAAAAAAAGTACTTTGCTCAAGAAAAAACGCTGTAATGAAGAAATAAAATTAAAGGGCTCGTGGAAAATGACCTATGAAAACAAATTATTTCTCTTCTATAAAGCATATAGAAGTCTTATTATTAAATATGTACTTATTAAAATTAAAACCATATGCACTAGTTCTTATGAGTCAAAAATTCCACAGAAGGAGTCGAAAATGTACGATTTGTAACTAGCTATTGTATTACTTCGTCTATTCAGGTGATGAAAGACGAGTTGATGGGCTTCACTGAGATCGACATTGAGAACAGATGGACTTCCAAGTACAGAGGCATGTGTCCACTGCCTGCCAGTGGTGGGGGGTTCGATTCCCGCTCCTGGCGGGACAATCAGCTGCCCACTGACATTTTGACTCAGTGGTGCAAGAGACACTTGTTCTGCGAGCCCCGATGGATCTCAAATCACGAAGTAGAGGCTAGTTTTATTTTCAATTCAAACCAAGCATCGTTCTCTTTTTCTGGCTTTCTATGTCATATCACACTTGCTGTCATATGGAGGCGGATAATAAAAAAAGAACCAGCTGAGACTGGTTCAGATGAGACGCTCTATTTTTTTGAAGATTTTGCTAGGTTTTGAAAAAGTATTCAACAGCTATTGCGCTGTGCATATAATTGTGTAAGTTTTGGACAACTAATATTATTGCTTGTTTTTAAATGTAAACACAAAGAGATGCAAATGGCGCAAAAATTCGTAAAAGGTTTCTAGTTTCGAAAGTGGAATTCAATATTTAGATTTCCAGCGGAATAAAAACTTTACCTGTTGATCCAGTTTTCTCAAGTTGGGTTAATTTTATCAAAAAAGCGCCTGTCATAAATCGTTCTAGAAATTCAAAGAGTTTAGAAGGCATCTATTTTTTTCTTGAGAATCGAAAGTTGAGATTTTTTCAACAAACTTAGTGTTTTTTTTATGATTAATTGCGTCCATTATTCTTTTCCAATCTTCGATTGGCTATGTTTGTTAAATGATTATTGCGTAGACATTGTTGCTGGAATCCGTAAAACTGTGCAAGAATCCGTATAATTTTGAAATAGTTTTCGAGTCAAAATTTGATGGGATACGTTGGCAAATGATTAAAAATAAGGTGCTAAGTTTGCATTTTGGTTGTAGAGCTAATGTGCTGGTTACAGAGACTACGAGGACTTTAGTGACAAATGTTTCGTCAAGATTATTATCAGTAGTGAACGTAGTGAAGATTCTTACACGGGTCTTGGTGATTTCTTCAATTTTTTTTCAGGAAAATGTTTTGAAGTTTGTTCACGTTAAACGTGTTCAATTTCTGGTTTCGAAAATGGCAATAAATATTCAGATTTCCCAAGAAATAGTTTTTTTAAATACAGTTTTCTCAAACTGGTTTATTTTTATTTTAAAAAGTGCCGACGACCAAATTTTCTAGAAATTCGAACAGCTTCAAGGGCATCTGATTTGTTTTGAAGTTCGAAGTTGAGACTTCAAAAGACAAGTTAGTTTTTCTGTTTACATGCGTCCCTTGAATTTTTTCCAACAGTCTCTTGGCTATGTTTTAATGATCCAGTTTTCTCGAATGGGGCTAATTGTATGATAAAATGGCAGTTCATAAAAGGTTCTTGCCATTTAAAGAGCTTTGAGATAATGTGTTTTCCCAACAAAAATTCAAAATTGAAAACTAATTAAAGTCATTTCAATTGTTTTTTCCGCTTTCCGTGAGTTTATTGTCCTTTTTATCAATTTTTGATGGCTAAATTTCTTCCCGCATCTAAAAAAGGTAAAAAAATCAATCATCAAATTGTGGTCTAAAATATTATTAGAATAATTGATTCCCATTCCCATGTTGCACTCAGACAGCAAAAAAGAATAAAAAATCGATTATAATCCATTGTTTTTTTTATCGAATTTAAAATTAATTATAATCCATTTAAAAATAGCTTTTTTGTTCGCCTTAATTTTGTTTTGCGTCTATCGAAATTTTGCAAGATTTTTCGCATTTATCAAATGAGTAATGCGGAGATCTTGCAAACCGAGAGTACGGCCTACTCGATTTCTAAACCTTAACTTTCTCAAATTGCAAAACGATTGCGTTAACATCTCCCCCTATTTTGCCTCTTTACCCTTTACAAAACCCACCCCAACGTTTGCCCCTTTACTCCCTCCCCCTAAGTTTCTGAATAATCTTTAAATAAACTGAAAGGAACAAAATTATGAAATTGGATAACAAAAAACAGTAACAAAAATCAAAGTTGAGCAGAAAAAGTTGAAATTGAACAACAAGTAACGAACTTTAGTTTGAAACAGAAAAACACTTTATGTGCATTGAAATTAGCATCTCAATTAGGTAAACAAAATCGATTATAACGGAGTTTCATAAAAGGGAAAAATAACCAAATATATTTGATTTGCAATAACTTTTAATGCTTTATCAAATAATAGCACTATAATACAATCTTTATTGATTAGAATTGTTTAGTTTTTTTCACTTTTATAGAAACTGAAAAGAAAACTCAACTTTAATATGATTTTTATCCAAGGAACTCCAGTGCGGGAATTTTTGTTAATTATGTCCGAGTGTTATAAAACTTGACATGCTGACTAAATAGGCGTTGCTAAATATAATTATTCCTGCTAATATACTTTGTAAAACCATAAATTTGATGCACATGAGGTGGAAGGTGAGGAAAAGGAGCCCCCAAAAATATGAAAAAGATGTGACCCGGGACGACATTAATTTGAAATCAATTGAACAATTAAATTAAAATTTAATGATTATAATGTATCATAGTATTTACCCTAAGAAAATACCGTTAACAGCTAATTTAAAAATTGGAGCAAGATTGATATAACAAGATGCACGTGCATATGTCCTTAAAATTAAAATTTATTAACGACCAAAAATGGCAGCAGCAGCTGAGAAAAAGAAACATGTGGAGTTTTTGAATAAGTTCACAGACAAAGCAAGAGAGAAGGCAGGAGATGGAGGGAGGAGGAAAAACAGCACCAAAGGAAAGATAAATCGCATTTGCGTTACCTGTTCCTTGAAACCTTTTGATATCTTTAAATAATCTCAATTATAGTACTAAAATAACCGTACCCTAGGAATAATTTTACGGTTAAATCAGTGTCGTTTGAAGTAATTTTCCGAGGGTGGGGCTGATTTTTGAGAATTTGAACCGTCAAACATATGCGAACATTTTAGTAACGATACAGTTTTCGAAGCAGGCCAACTTACCTGGGAATTTAATGGTAACGCAAACTGTAATCTGATTGGTGTCGTTGTTTAATTAAGAAGTGCTTTCTAAGCGGGACAAGAAGATGGTTGAGAAGTTGTATGTGCACAGTGTGGCTGCCGGGAACAAGGGGGGAGGAGGAGGGGGAGGGGACGAAGGAGGTCAGCTGCTAACTCGGGCCTTCTTAGAGGTCAAGTTGAAGAAAGAGGAGCACAAGCGAAAGGCCAACGAGGAAAAAGCCAATAAGGAGAGACTACCATGACAACACACATTGCACACTTAAGATCTTTTCTGTCCCCCACGTAGTTCAGACTCTTAAATAGGTCGCGATTATTTTTTCAGGAAGTCTTTAAATTTGTTCAGGCTCAAATTTACTGTTTCGCAGTTTGACTTTTGATATATTTTTTAAGTTCCGCTCATTTCCTTTGTTAAAAGGAAGGCAAACTCCACTATCGAAAAAAATGTAAAGGTCACGAAAAATGTGATTGACTTCTAGTTTCGAAAGTGGTATTGATTTTTCAGATTTCCCAGCGGAATAAAAATTTTAGCTTTTTAATTTGAAATTCGAAAATTGAGACTTTATTTAGAAAAACATGTCAGTACTTTTTCTGGGATCTTTTCCACTTTCCGGCTCTTTTCCAGTTCCCCCCCCTTTTCAAAATACCGAGTTTTATGTTTGATTTACGTGTTATTACGGCTAAATGCGTGATGTTACGCTGTAAAGTAGAAGAACAAATCTGTTCAGAATGGTCGATTTGTTCACCACGCCAAATTTCATTGCATTATGACAGCGTTAAATAGACTTTTCAAAATTGAATTTGAAAGGAGGGGGGAAACTGGAAAAGAGCCCACTTTCCTCCTACATTTCGAAATTTCTGTTTTCATAATTGCTGTTCATGTTTTGATAGCTAAACGCGTGTTGTTACGATGTTACGGCATTATAAAAACGTTTAATTGATTTTTCAGAATAGAATTTCAAATGTGGGGTGGGGGAGTTGAAAAGGGGGCTCCTTGAGCTTTTCAAATTCACTTTGAAAAAGCGTTTTTTAACGTTGTCATAATGCCATGATATTTGGCGTGGCGAACAAATCGACAACTGTGAACTTCATACTTTACAGCGTAACATCACGCATTTAGCACGTAATAACACGTAAAACAATCATAAAACTCGGTGAGAACTGAAAGTGAGAACTGAAAACGAGCCGAGAAAAGCTTTTTCTGTTTGCTCGCTTCATTGACTCTTTTCTTTTCTTGTCGCCGCTTCCACTCGCGTTTTTTTTTTTGGTTTTTCTTATACACCGGATAAAATTGTTCTCTCTTCTTCTGCAACACTTGCTCCGGTCACCTCGGTGATACAAACTGGTTGAATTCTACATTTTCTGAGTTCCCAATATTTTATCAGTTTAGCGAGCTTCACAAGATTCACCACAACCACAAACACCTCGAGTTAGACAAGCTAGCCAGTACAAAACGCATCTCAAGTTCAAAAAATTTCTTCTGTAACCCAAGCTCCTTGAATTCTACAAGTCTTTCCAGTACTACGGGCTCCACAAGCATCTCTAGTGTCAAAAGCTTCTCAGTTGTAACTAAATTCTCCCGTAACGCAAAACTCTCAAAAGTTAAACCAAGTTCAACAACAACTAGGAGCTCGGGTCGATAATTCGCGGGTCGGTAAACTCACTGAACTCCACACGCTTTACCAGTTCGCTGCAATGCTATCGAGCTCTGCTGAACTGCTGTATCCGAGTCACTGCTTGCAATTTATCCGAAATAATCAGTAGAAATTTGCGATTTTTTCTCAATTGTAACTAAATTTGCCATAATGCAAAGCTCTCAAAATTTTAGCTCTCAAAATTGAGAAAAAAAATAATTTTTTCAGAAAACTCCTTCGTAACGCAAACGACGTTGATAAGTTTAAAATACCCTAAAGTTTTTTGAGAGCTAAAATTTTGAGAGCTTTGCATTATGGCGAATTTGGTTACAATTGAGAAGCTTTTGACACTAGAGATGCTTGTGCCCCAAAAATAACCTAAAAACTACTTTTAGGATTACTTTCAAAAACTTAGTTTCGGTGAACAAATGCTTATCATAAAAATTTCTTGAATGGAAATTGTAAGACAAACATTTTCCATAGAGTCCGTGAATGGAGTTTTACGATAAATTTTTCGGTCTATGGAGGTCAACCTGGGCAGGAAGAAAAAACAATATATGGTAAAATGGTGCAACGCTATGTAGTAACAACGATTCTGATAGACTGAAACTAAATGTTCCAGTAGAAAAAAATGGGTCAATTCCGGGGCACCTCCTTTCAACCCCCTTCTAATCCAGCATAAACAGTCAGCTCTCAAATAAAAATATATCTAGTCAAGTTAAACACCTTCTCGGAGCTTGTGTCGATAATTCGCTCTCTCTCTCTCTCTCTCTCTCTCTCTCTCTCTCTCTCTCTCTCCTCTCTCTCTCTCTCTCCTCTCTTTCTCTCTCTCTCTCTCTCTCTCTCTCTCTCTCGTCCCAGCCTCTGCTATTCTGCTAACGCTCGCTTTGCAATTTATTAGTCCTGCTTCGCTCTGTTTTTTATCATTGCCAAGCTAACACTATCTCTGGCTAGAAATGCGCCACAGCTAGGAGGACATAGATTGAGAGAAAAAAACCATGGCTAGACAGCAACAGCAACCAAAAAGGAAAATCGCAAACTTCTACTGACTATTCCAGATAAATTGCAAGCGTGATACGGAAACAGAAAGGGCGCCCGTGGATACAGCAGACGCAGAGCTCGACAGCTTTGCCGCGAACTGGTAAAGCGTGTGGAGTTCGGGGAGTTTATTGACCCGCGAATTATCGACCCGAGCTCCTAGCGGGTGTTGAACTTAACTGTTTAAATTTTTGAGAACTTTGCGTTACGGGAGAGTTTAGTTACAATTGAAAACTTTTCGACACTAGAGATGCTTGTGGAACTCGAGGAGCTCGTGGTACTAGAAGAAAGACTTGTAGAGTTTGAGCTTAGGTTACATTTTGAACTTGTCGGAGCTTGGGTTACAGAACATTTTGTACTGGAGATGCTTAGAGAACTCGAGATGCTTATTGTACTGGAGATATTTTTGTCGATGATATTTTTGCCTTTTTTAACCGTTCTAGCCAAGCTGGGTAAAATTACCAATAAAAACAATAAATTTTTTTTTACATGGGTACAATTTTGGTCGTAGATGGCTAGTTAATTAGTTTTTTAGCTTTAAAATAAAATAACTTAAGTCTAATACAGTCAAGTTGGTGGGTCCTACAATTGATACTTTAAAAGTATCCGTGTGCGTGTGTGTATGTAACGTTGGGTCGCAATCAAGAGCAGGTGTTGCGCGAATTGCTCTCGTCAGTGGAGAGTGAGGAGTTGAGGGGTGCTTTGGAGCAGGAGTGCAGGGACTTCTCCCGCAGAATGTCCGCCATGGACCAGGAGGTGGAAAGGAAAGTGGGGGAAATTAAGGAGAGCGACCAGCAGCACCAAATGCTCACCCAGGTCTCAAATGAAAACCATAAACCCCTGTGTATTTTTTTCCCTACACCTCTCTCCCATGTGGAAGTTTGTTTTAATTAACTTTTCTACAACCTTGAGGAATCACCAATAAAAAGATTTTGCGTGAGAACCATTTGAAGTTTTCATCAGACCAATTTGTTACGATAAAAGTATGATGAACAATACTTTGTTCACATTACACATTAATTATTTTGTTCACCAGGCAAAGTTTAATTATCACAACGTGAAAATAATTTTGTAAAATCGAAAGTTGAGTGGGGGAGGGGGAAGGGGTAGAGAGGGGAGGGGAAAGGGGGATGAAGAGAGCCTTCTTTCAATAATCCTCATCTGCCTGATATGTAGTCGTTTGACCACACAGTATCTACTCTGAAAGACTGTCAAGAGGACTCCATCAACAGACTCATCCACGACTACAACTTGAACTTGGAACACCTGCTGAACACGTACAATGCAGAAATGGACAACAACACCGCCAAACACAGGCAGGCAACTTAAAGGCTGCTGCAAAACCACTGCGCCAAATTCAGCATACTAGTCACAAGCTCATTCGAGACAACTGCTTTTTGTTCCTCTGAGCTCTCGATTCCTGAACTTTGAATTAAGAAAAAACGCGGCCTTTTTAATAATCTATACAATCAGGGGTGGGTTTGTTTAAGGGAAGGCGCCAAAAGTGTCGAGGGGGTCAAATCCATGATAGAAAGGGGCGTCTTCCCTTATACCCACCCCTGATTGTATAGATTTTTTCTGAAAGCCTTCCAAAAAGTGCCCTTAAGGCCTTAAATAGGTCTTTCACGACACGTTTTTTCATAATCTTGGGTATATAGGGCCTCAAAGTGCTTCATGAGAGCTCGAAAAATTAATAGAGTCAACCTAACGATATTTATGATTATTTTCGAAAATCTGCCCCCTCCCCTTTCAGGAAACTCTAATATTTGCATCTGAGTATTTTTATGACCCCTGATTATCAATGAAGGCTATGAAGATATTCCCATAATTTTCGCATATGTGTGGTTGACTTTGGCCGGCTGGTTAGAGACAAAATGGGAGACATGACAGATTGCATGTTGGCTCTGGACTCCAATTTCAACGAAGACGAAAAAGATTTGCAGACACATCACAAGAACCTGCAGAAGTTTATGGATCTGCAGGGATGGGTTTAAATAGATTCTTCCCAGTTTCCTCGCGAACTTATTGAATTTTGGTGTTTTAAGTGACGTGTAATATACTATACGACTGCAAACATTTCCGAAAAACAGTGACGTGAACGTGGTAAAAAATAAGCCGCGTGCATGCTTTTATACGGAAGGTGCGAATTATAAGCGTGTCGCACTGCGTATCTTCTTACCTTGGGACTCGGTCACGCTAAATTCAGGCTCAGTTTCAGTGATTGGCAGAAACTATAATCGACTACAATGTTTTTACTCAAGCTCAAGTGTCCACGCATACCGAAACTCCGTCGATTACTCGGTCAAAACATACCTCGTACAATAAAAATTATAAAATAATAAATCCGTTAACGAATCAAGCACATTACAGAAATTCTTTATCATAGATGTACAATTTTTGGTAGCGACGGTTTAAATGGTCACAGTAAGACTACAAGCCTGTATTCAGGTGCAATTTGAGTCAGAAAAATAAAAAAAATAGCCATTTTTGTTGAGCTAGATCGAAATCATAAAGACCGAACAGCATTTTTTATTACAATTTTTTATTATGTACTACTCTTTAAGAAAATTTAGCCTAATTTTCACCAATAAAACTTTTTCTCAGAAAACACTACCGTCCAGATGGAGGTCTCTCAGTTTATAAACAAGACTGTTTAATTGAATTGTTAGGCGTGGTATTATGTTAAATAAAATCTTATAGTCTGGTTTGACAATCTTATTAGAAAGAAGGCTTACTCGTTAACTATTTTTTTTCTGTTAAATTTGTTCATTACAGATTGAGTTTGTTCTAAGCTGTGTATCACTTATAAGATCCTTTTTCAATATTTTTGATGTCATGAAATTACTCACATACTTACTTGTATGTTCTTGTTTATGATTTTTGTTAGTATTTTAGGATTTTTTATATATGTAGTGCACAGATTGAAAAAACTTTTTTTTGTCTCGTCGATTTTACTTCATCGAATTTTCTTGTCTGGTGATTGTTCTCATAAAAATGAGATTGTTGATTGTTTTGATTGCGATTGTGATTGTTGTGAAATGTGATTGTTGTTTCTGCAGTGTGTCTAGATTTGTTTTTGAGGTGCATATGTAAATCAGTTTCCCCTACTGACAAATTGTTGTTCTCATAAAAAGTTTGTTGTTTTTGCTGTGTGTCTAGATTCGTTTTTTAGGTGCATCCATAAATCAGTATTCCATATTGATAAATTAGTTGTTTTTAGCTTTTATGAGTATGAGTTTTTCAACCGACAACATGTTTCTAATTTAGGAGAGATATGAAATGAGCTTTGTGGGTCCATTTTTCAAATTTCGTAAATGTTCAGTGAAACTATATCTAGCATAGTTTTCTGTTTTTTGAACACTTTTCCTCGACTTAATGAATGGTTTTATTTTCTTCGAGCTAGTAACAATTGTTTTCGTTTTGTCCAGGTTCATCTTAAGTTTAATTGCTGCCATCCATGTTCTTATGAGTTCAAACTCAGATCACAGTTTCTTCCAAAATAACGCCATGTATACTAGTATCACCTACAAAAGGAATCACTGGCAGATAATTGTTGTAAAATGAACATAAAAGTGGACCCAGAACTGATCCTGGAGGACTCCGCATTTCTCATTCTGTTGAATACTCTTTGTTTGGTTTATTTGAACAAATTGGTAGCAGTTTTCTGGGAAGGATTTGAGAATCAAAATTTTTTTCCTCTCAATCAGTTTACTGAGCACTTTCGAGGAGCATCCATGGTTTACATTATCAAAAGCTTTTGATAAATCAATGAGTGTGCGAAAACTATATTTCTTATTCCTCAATTTCATCAACTGTTGATCCTTCTGACAAAATCGTTTTTGTATGTTTGAAAACACTTCGTTTTTGTAACAAAAAATCTGACAATACTCAAGCATAAACTTCTTTTGGATACTTTTTTGAAGACTGGTAGAGAAGTAATTTGTGTTTGAGTCCTTTTTCTCACCTTTGTGTATTGGGATAACTTTGGCAAGTTTAAAAAACAATCCGGATAAAGTGCTTCTTGTAATTTTCAATTAAATAAAACTGTCGAAATTGAACAGATCGCAGGATTTATTATTACTATGAAAAATCTAGACAGTTCGTAGCAATCACTTTTTTGTTTCGCAAACTTCCAATTGTTTCAAAACTTTCTTGTTCAATGAATTTAGGTAGATAAGATGTATTCTCTGCTGTTCTTACACGTAAAATTGCTTTCTATTTTTTAATAATTCAGCTAATTTAGGTCCAACTTCAACAAAAAATTGATTGAAAGCTTCCACTGATATAATGCTCAGATTGTATTCTCAATTACCGTTTTTTTTGCCGTTGGCTTCAGACTGTTAATGAACTCGTAAAAATTGGTCGTTTCTTTTTGTCTCTTACCATTGATTTAATTTTTTTGCGATGTCTTTGATTTGAACATTTTGCCGCATCTATAAGACTTTGCAGGTAAACTTTGTATAGTTTGTGTTTTTTGCTCTTTCACGTTTGACTTGATTTGTAATTCAGGTTATGTTATATTTTCTGCTTTTTATTTCATGATTCGGCAAGAATGTATCCGGAATTTTTTGAAGTTGAGTTGTTAGTAGAATGAAAGTCTCGTTGAGGGGTAAACTTAAAAATAATTGGTGCAATTGTTTATAAAATATAACTTATTTTCAATTGAAAATGTCTTAAAGTTTTCATCATCACATTTTTTCTGTGACCTGCCAAAGCGAGACAGCTTTTTAGATTTCCTCTTTAAATACAGTTTTTTTTCCAGAAAAAAGTGCTGTGATAGATGTCTGTTCTACTGGAACGTCGGTTTAAAATTTGGTTTAAAAGAAATCACAGTGTTTTGTTTGTCTCGTGGTATTCAGTAACAATTTGAGCGTAAGATCAAACATATTGAGATTTTCTATTAAACCTTCAGACAGATCAATTTTGTTTTTTTTTTGTAATCTCTGCTCACCAGATGCTTAGCTATTGGGTTAGTTTCAGCTCGGGTAAGTGATTTATGACCGTCTCTAGGAGAAACTCAAGGGAATGCTGTGGTCATTCATAAAAAAATATCAAAAACATTTTGTTTTTCTTTTTTAAGTTTGAATTGTTAATAGTTGAATTTTGTCTGTTAAAAATTTCAGTATAACCTCACGATTAAAACCTGTTCTCAAAAACAGCAATTCTTCTGCCTCCTCTGTTGGTTCTTTTGCACATGTAGTTGTTTTCATAATCATTTAGTTTAAAAAAAGTTTCGATGATTCATTTAACCAGGTTTCCGTCAACGCTAAGGCCATCAGTTTGTCTTCAAGATCGCTTAAATATGTTTCTATTTCTCTAAAACTATGATTCAGAGATCATACATGTTGCATCATAAGTTGATTTGGTTTCATTGTTTTGCTCAAATTTGTCTAGCTCGCTTTTCGTGCAGACTGTAAGTTCAAAAAAACTAATGTGATTTTTATCTGCGATTTATAGAGCATGTGTACCACGCTAGTTGTGTACAGTGCCTATAAACAATTGCATATCAAGTTTGAAAAATTTTTATACCCTTTTTTCAGCAAATTGTTCAATTCAAGGGTAGGCACATGTGATTCCGGATTATGATCTATAAAAAGTCAACTCAAATATAATTATCGCAAATACCATCGAAACATAAAGAAAGCTATCTATAAGACAAGAAAAAAAATGATTTTGTTTTAACGTGACATTACTATAATATCAATACTTCGACTCTTTTTGCAGTAAGACGAGGCGCTATTAGTCTATAATAAGAACCCTCATGAATGTGTTCTGAACTCCCACACACAAAGCAGAAAATTAAATTGCCCCCAAAACTGTCATTATGATTTATTTTGCATGCTCGCTAAGTGATTCAAAGTCATTCACTGATTCAGTTTTACAGTTTTCGTAATGATTTGCATCGACGAAATTGGTTTCCAACTACATTTTACTCAATGCAAATTAAAATTTCGAAAAAAATAAGAGGCGACTGGGATGAAGTCTATTATATAGTTAACGCCGAATTGTTGGTAATATCGGTCAAAACACGGTTGTTATAGGTTAATTAGATTTTTTAATATGGTTTTTTATTTGCTCAAATGAAAAAAAAATTGATGTCAGACTTCAAAATTAGCAGTTTTAGGTAAAATAACTTTGTTCAGATTCGTTGACCGAAAATAATATTGCCAACAATTTGGCAGTAAATATAATACCTGCATAATCAGGGTATCCGTGAGACGCAGAATGTGCGAATAGCGAGTGAGAGTGTGATTGAGGAGTACTGGAGGAAGTATGAAGACACTCTCTACAAGTTCAACACAGACACCAGAAGACTCAAGAGTGAATTGATGAAGAGAAGGAGGTTGGGAGAAAGTAACGCTCAAATGTATCACGCCCAACAACAGAGAGTTGAAAGGGATCTACTTAACAATCTCTCTCTCCCCCCCCTCCCCCCCTATTGTACCTACTAAAGAATCCCCCCCTTTTTTTCTTGAAAAGGGGGGGGGGAGATTGTTAAGTACATCCGTTGAAAGGTAGACAATAAATCACGGTTGCAAAAATGGTTGTCAGGTTAATCAAGACAAAAATAATATTAGATCGGTTGAGAGGATTATATTTTTGATTGCCTTATAGGCTAATTTTTTCTGTCAACAAATTTGAATAATTTTCTGCCTCTAGCTTCATATTTTGTGGCCTAATTTAAAAAAAAAACTGGCATCTGAAATAATCACAATGTGAATTTTTTCACTTCCTTGCCTGTATACAAAATCATGTTAAAAACAGAACTTTGTAGTTCAGTTTTTGCAACGGTCTTTGTCATGGTTAGACTGCAGAGCAACTTGAAGACTGTGAAAAGCCGAGTGCGAAGCATCAACAGAGAAACCGTGAACACTTTGAATGCCATCTCACGAGAACAGAAGATCCTGTTCGATTTCTACATGAAGCTACGACAAGTGTTGAAGGAAAACGAACGCGTCAAAGACGTGCAATTGACTAAACTATGTACGGAAAGTGAAGCTGCGTTGAAAAACTTAAAGGAAAGTTTGGATCTGGCTGAAAAAATTGTCAAATTAGGTCAGAACAATCCAAACAAGATCAAACATGAACATAAGATGCTGGAAACACTTAGACGTAACTTGAATTTTTGGGTTTCTCCCATTATAGCCCCCCCCCCCCCCAGCTTTGTAACAAAAAATTATAGCCTCCCGCCCAAAGCAGTGATTTTTGTATTTCGGGGGTCTATAATTTACCTTGGGGGGGGGGGGGGGGCTATAATGGAAGAAACCCGAAAATTCAAGTTCAACTGACCATTAAATCTTTTTCAATGATGAAAATTGAAAAACCCAAAAAAGTGTTACTGATCAATATCACTAGCAAAGGCATTCTATTAGCATGGACAGCCCGGGTTGACCTAAAGTAGCTATAACAGAACTTTTGTGATGAGAATCTTACAACTTCTTACAACTTTAGGCATTAAGAATGAAACAAGATAGGAAAGTTTTGAGACACAACTAAAACTGTTACAAGAAAATTGTACGATAGGAACTTTTTCTACTATATTTTTTCAAAATTTTTTGCATATTTATTTTTTAAATTTAGCTTATAACCAGTTTAAAATTTCTCTATTGTCGCAGAGTACAATAATTAAAACTCGTAGACTAACGAACCGCTTCGCCATATGAAATTACCGAAAACCCACTAAATTCATAGAATTGGTTTTTTGCTGATAACTAGAAATTTTGTTTGTTTATACCTGAACTCCAGAAACAACACGTCCGCAGCTATGCCACTTGATTCGTCCGTTGATTTTCTTAACCGCTAATTACATAAAACTAGATATATTTTTAAAAATTTCTTTCGGAATTTTTTGTTCGAAAGGCATACAATAACCTCCATCAAAAATATTTTACATGCATAAAATTGAAAAAATCCTAAATTGATTCTTATCTGTAGCTACTGTATAAAAAGACATTAAAATTGTTTTTTTTTGGAATTTGGGAAAAATTGTTATCTTGAAACTTTTACAAAAAAAAGTTGTAAGATAGTAGAAATTTCCAACCATATTCAAAGATAGGGGAATTCTTAATAGAATGGTCAACCCGGAAGCTCAAAATGAAGCATTTCATCTGATTAATCCACGGGTACTTTTCTCTAGCCGTTTTGTAAGACCCGCGCTTTTTCTCTACCCGAGTCATGAAGGTAGTGAAAATTCTTATATAGGTCTTAGTGATTTTTTTTGTTCATTTTTTTTCTGGAAAAAGTCTTAAAATTTGTTCATGTTAAAAATTGACTTTTCGCGGATTGACTTTTGATTTTTTTTAACATTTATTTCTTTTCCTTTGTTAAAAGGATGGCAAACTCCACTATCGAACAGCAAAGGTGTGAAGGTCACAAAAACATGATCGACTTCCAGTTTCGAAAACAGAATTTAATTTGCAGAATTCCCAGCGGAAGAAAATTACTTTTTGATCTAGTTTTCTCAAATTAAGTTTATTTTTTTATCAAAATCGCGTCAATCACGAATTGTTTTTGAAGTTCAAAGAGCTTTGAGGTCATCTATTTTTTAATTTGAAATTCGAAAAAACAAGCCAGTATTTTTTGTTTCCTTGCGTTCATGACTCTTTTCCAACTATCTGCTGGCTAAGTGTGCAGTTTTGTCCACCTAAGCTTTCACAAAAATGAGACCAAATGTGTTTGAAGTTAATTTTTGATTCGCGTTTTTGCAGCTTTCCAGATTGATCTAAGGTTCTGGATATCAGTATTGAACTTCTTTGTAAAAACCGCAGATTCAATTATGTGATTGAAATTGTCAACTTCATTTTTCATCATTGAGGCCCGATCATTTTGAGTACGATGGTTCATTACTCTGAAACTTCGTCCAAACTCACTTCTTATAATCGAAGTGCATGTAGTCGAGGGCTCTTCATTATGTTATCATAGACAAAAAAGTTTCACTTTTCATCCATGACTGCAAAATTTTCCATAACAATTCTCATTGTAATTTTGAATGAGAAGCATAAAATACAAAAAAGTATATATAAAAATAATCATACCAATGTCCGGTTTGGTTTTGATTAATAAAAGGACATATGTGCCGATGTTTGGAGTCGGAAAGTGAGAAAGTCACACCTTTTTTGAAGGAGGGAAATTTGGACCAGACTGAACTGAATGTTCTACATGAGAAAATGTGGAAAAACTTCGAAGAGCCTCTGAATAAAGACGTGCACATTTACAGCCGAGTTCAAAAGTTGGAGCAAAGAATGAGCAAGACTGTGTTAGATGACGCAATAGTAAGAGCCGAAATCAGCCAGTACGACAGATCGATTGATTGGCTCAAAAAACAACTCAAGTTGTACTTGGAAGACATAAGTGTAACTAGCGAGTTGGAAGATTATGACAAATGTCATCGATTGCTTATGGTGGAGAAATTATCTGATGGAAATGAAGAAGGGGATTACGCCAACCCAAATCATGGAACTGCGGCTGATCAATGAAGGATGCAAAGTAATTGAAAGAAGCGAAAACTAAATTAAAATCAAATATTTGGAGTTTTGCTTTTTTTTAGTTGACTGGGGAGCTATAATAATCTGAATCAGCCAAAATTTGCACCTTTCCTTTTAGTTTTTTTTAAATTTTCTCCCCTGGGGTTGGGATAAACAGGGGAGATAAAAGAAAGGGGCGGGAGGGTAGAAGGGGGCAAGCAAAAGTAGACAATAATCGAGTTAGACTATACAAAACAAGGACAACCGCTTGCAAGAGCAGTCCTGTTCAGCTCTACTGAAGTACAGAAAATAAAAAATCTGAAAAAAATAAAAATAGAAAAAATTCCAAATATAATGTGATTTTTTTTTTCAGTTAAGGGCGATTAAATTATTTCCAGAAATGCAAAAATTGGTAGCAAGTTTTGCTCAATAATATAAAATTGCTTTAGAATTCAATTAACTGCCGCGTCAATCGTAAACTTCGTTTCGAAATCGAAAAATGGACGTTAATTCACTGGACAACAATTTTGAAGAACTTAAAGTATATAAAACGAATTTGAAACAGAAAAGGCTTCCAACAAACACTGATCGCCGCTTAAATAATGACAGGCCTACCCAACCTGATTGCCGCGAGAATAAAGACCCTTTATTTGACTTCTCAAAAGGTTCAGTCCGACCTCTAAACTTCTGTTAAAGAATGTGTAAAGGATTTTGTGCGCAGACTGTTTTTTACTTGCGGTTTTATAGATAAATTGGCAGTAACAAGAGTTAGTAAAACGGTACGGTCTGTAGGAGTAAATTCAACTTGTTTCTTCAATGTATTAGAGGTCAAAATTTAGGCAGAGCTAGATGGATTGGCAGGCAGGTACCTGCTCGCACTTAGTAGTGATATAAGAAACTCTCAAGAATATAAATAATTATGGGTATCAACTGAAAAGAATGACATCCAAATATGTAGCCCACTTTTCCCTACGCCTGTAAAATTTGAATACATATTAATTTAAATTTATTGCAAAAATTAGCAACACTGAAACAGCTTTGAGTTATAGGCTTATGGCCATCCCTCTCCCTGGGTTACAAGGTTTTGAAAAATTTGAAATCAGTTTTCCACCTCCCTTGGATTCTTCGAATTTCCTCCGCCCCTTGAGGTTTTTCAGTAATGGAGTCAATCATCACCTCTCCCCTTCTGTCCCCAGGTTTGCGTCACCTCGTTCTTTTTCGGGTTCCCGAACTGTCGCTCTGCGTCTCCAAATCTCCCTCTTCGTGGCTACTGTTCGAGAGGCATTCTCTTGAAATAGTGCCGGTCTTTTCTGATTTTCCTTCGCCCGTTTCGTTTTCGTACTCCGTACTTTAGCCGCCGCCCGTTTCTCATGCGTCGTCGCCCCGCTCTTCCCTTGGTCGGCTGCAATTGCCTCATCTCGCGCCGCAACTTCGACTGGTAGTCGCAATGGGATAGTGTTCAATGGCCGATAATCTTCACTGTCTGAGTCGTCTGATGGTTCGGCGATTACCCTTACTTTTTCAGTCTTTACAGTTTTCGGCCGCTTCGACTTAGGGCTTCGCGGAACTCCCCGCCTTGCGCTTGCTAACATCTCCGCCACGGTAGCCGGTTTACGTTTCTTTGGAGCAGTTGGTTTTGATTTCATTGTCACGGCATTTTTCCTAAGTACAGACCCGTTTTTCAGTTTGGTGTTAAGTTTAGATTCAGATACAATGTTAGATTTTATTAGTCTGTACCAGTTTAGCGTTTTGCTAGTAGTACGCGGGTAGATATCGGCGGCCTCCTTATTCCCTTGGTGGGGCAGTTTGCCCTGCGGTTCTTCCCCCTGGTCTGTGTCGATCTGCTGATCGGTGTCTAGTAAAAAAGGTGACTTCCTCAGTGTTGGGGCGTAAACCAGGTCTGACCGTTCCTTCCAGTTTGAGTGCTGCGAATAGGCGATCGAAATCAGCTCTGAGTCGTTTTCGTCTCAACACAAACATTTTTGTTTTAGGACGTTTTTCCAATCCAGGTTTTTAAGACTTGGTTTTTTCATGAGGTTACGTAAAACGGTATTTGCCTCCTAACCGTGGTGTGCCTCAAAATGGATTAGCTTACTAGTCGCATTTTCGAGAAACGTTATCCGCCTAACGTTTTGTCGACCATTAATTCTAGAGGTTTGCGTTCCTTTTCGATTGCATAGGTGAGCACGAAGTTTTTGAGACTGCCGATTATTCTCTCCACCGACCCCGTGCCCCAGTGATTCTTTACTGGGGAGTAGATTAGCTCAATTCAATCGATACTACAGAAGCTTTAAAACTTGTTGGACGTGAAACATGACCCTTGGTCTACATGGATTTTACGACATACCCCGTGGTGGTTAATGTATTTTTCCAGAAATTTTAATACTTTATCCGACGTGTTGGTTGTAGTAACCATGGCCTATGGGCACCTTGAAAACCTGTCCGTCGTGACCAAAACATACTTTTTCTGCTTTCTCAAATCGCTTATTGGACCCCAGAAAACCAATTGTATACATTCATTAGGTTCGGGGACTTTTCTAATATCTTCCTTGGGTAGCTACGGTTTTGAGTTCTTACCGCATCCCTGCATTATTGACATTAGATCGTTTTTGCCGCCAGACTGCGGTACATATAGGGGTACCAAACATACCGAGCAACCTCGAACATGTTCCGTTTTTCATGATGGTAGAAGTGGATCCGTGACTCTACCGGTATTTGCAGTGGTAATGGGATTACTAGTCGTCCGTCCAGCCAGACACAGATGTCTTTTAGGAAGAGGTCGTTGGCATACTGAGCCCATTATTTTCCCACCTTCGTAAATTAATCCTTAAAATTGGTCTTCTTTTTTAATGCGTCTTTAACTTTAAATAAAATGATGTCTGCCGGGATGTTCGAAGCGACAATTTTCAAATTAAACGATTCAGGTAATGAGGTAGATTTCTTATTTATTTTACAATCGCTTAGTACAATTGACATGATTCGTTGATTAGGATTTATTGCTGGAAATAATTCAACCGGAAATTTTGAAGGAATTGATTGGACTGTGTTATTTTTCGAATATCGTGTATTTTTTGGTGATGGCTTCAATTCTTGGATTAATTACAGTTATTTCATCGCTACTTTGAAGATTAGGGTCTAGTCTGATTAGGGAACTTAGTTTTGAGTCAATTTCAATGACCGAAAAAGAACAATCTGAACTTTCAACCATTTTTCTGATTTGTTGTATTAATTTTGTTTCAAATGACCGCCTTCCAGGGGAACGATGTGCAGTGTACACTGAACGTCCCTTGGATTCGGCTGACCTATGCGGTATGCAAATTGGACGATTCTTATTGGCCAGATTTTTAACGCATGACTTTCCGCCTTCAACCGTCGGTGTGCTTAAGCATGTTTGCCGTTCTTGGTTCTGAATGGACGAGTCTCGTTTAGATAGTTTCTTGCATCTTTCGAGTATTATTACTTTTACCAAGGGGTTGAATTTTGGGTCAGAAACCAAGAGATTTTCTTACAGCGTGAATTTTACCTACCGTGAATAAGCTATCGCATTTTTTATGGCTTTTTGGGGGTCGCATGGATGTCTTGACAAGTAATCTGCGAATTTGATTTTTGCTCCCTGTTTATGTTCTACGACGAAATCGAACGGAATTAATCTGTCTAGCCATCGTGTAAGTCTCCAAAAAAAAGGTTTTGTTCTTTTCATTATTCCCGAAAGCAGGTACCTGCTCACAATTAGTAGTGTTATGAGAAACTCTCAATAATATAAATAATTATAAGTATCAACTGAAATGATTGACATCCAAATATTTAGCCCCTCACAGCAGGGTTTGCATTAAATGGGATTAAGAAGGATGCAAAAAACTTTTTTCAGGCAAAATGACTCTATGTTTTAAAATGGTGCATCGATAACTTTAATGTGGGGTGAAAATAAATGGGGCATGCACTTTTTCAAAAAAGTCTGAAAAGCTCACCCAAGTACACGTCTTCCGCAATTATCTTCTGTCAGAACAAGAATTTCATCAAACAATAACGTTTTTTGTATGCTTTGAAAGCATGAATTATGTGTTCTTGAAATAAAGGCTAACACGAAAAACAAGCGTCATACAGTGTTTATTTACGGAGAAATGCTCATCATATAATTTTCAACTCCATGAGTGCAGAAAATTATAAGAAAAGTCTATGATTAGCAATTTTTCATTCATGAATTTGCATGACTAGCAATTTTCAATAAATGAGAAAAAAAATTAAATATAATCTTCTAAAAAACTTTTGGAATGTGTCATAACCGAACGCAAGGGACAAAGACTCTGGTTAATCAAAGCTAGAGTTACCAAAGGTTTCAGTAAAGTTCTTGCTTGTACAATGCATTGGCAAAGACTTGATTACAGATGTCTAAGACAAACGATATAATGAAGGTAGCGAACTTCTTAGTTTTGTAAATGTAAATTTTTTGTTAGTCATGAATTGATGAAGGCATACAGAAACATGCAAAACAAGAAAATAGGCTTCTTCAGAAATTTTGAAAACATTTATTCGTAGAAACAGAAAAAAAACTGAACATTTATGTATCAAAGTCTATGTTATCCTACCAAAAACTTACATTTTGCGTGTAAAAGCTTTTTGTGGACAATACTTATTTGAATAAAAAATCCGTTTTGCGCCATAAACATGCAAATTTTCTGATAAATTTACAACTTTACAACTTTTTTGATGCTGCCATCCGCCATCAAAAAAACACCTAGTTATAATTTTCTACTCATTGAAATTGTATGCTTACCTCTTTTTGCCAAAAAAAGTTTCCTCTTATATTTAAGTAGATACGCCTTCTTTAATGCGAAAACTAGAAAAAAAGTTTTGATTTTCAAAGTGATTAAAATTCGTTTGACTAACTTTTTTCACAGACTTAGTTATGGGAATTGTATGACTAGCATTTTCAGTCTATGGAGGTCAACCCGGGAAGTCAGCAAAACTAAATAGCAAGAAAATACAAGTTTTGGTTAAAAATTCAAAATTAA